ACCTGCGCTTTGCTTCCTGGGAGACCCCCGTGCCCAGGGTTATATGATCCGCCTCTGGACCTGCACAGCCCAGCCCGGGCACCAGCATGCGCATTATCTCATGGGCTTGGTAGGCATGGAAACACGCATTTCTGGAAGGATCTGTGCGTCCACTTGAATATTCAATGTCAACATTCCATCGGCTTCCTCCTCCCTTCTGTGTGATGGGCACGTGGTTTTTCCTCCAGGCACTTATGTGGGGTGAGCAAACGAATGGGGTGCAAGATGCCATCAGGGGGGCAGTGACCTTCCCTCCACCCACCCCACAGCTCGGGGCCCTGCACCCACTAAGGGGGAGCATCAGACCACATTCCCATCGAAGTTTCGGGGGGGGGGCACAGGCCACTTGGGGGCATCTTCCCAGGCCAGGGGGAGGGGGTGGAACCTGAGTGCACAGAGGGGGTGAGGCCAGGCCAGCTCGCGCACATTTTAGGGGCGACATGTAAGAGTCCGGAGTGGGTACTCCAGTCCCCGCCACACACACACACCCTTTGCTCAGGGTGGACAGCAGGGTGTAAGGCTGAATTCTGGCCGCAAGTTCTTGTTCTCCCCGGGCCTCGGGGTGTGCTCATTGGGAAGGGGGCAACCAGACCTTCCCACGTGGCTAGGCGCGATGTGGACTGGGGGCCCTGACCTGCGTAGAATAACAGCTTCTTATTAAGGGTCGGGGTGCTTCTCCCCAAAGCGGCCCCTGTGTCCTGGGACTGAGACGGGACCTGCTGGGGGTCGGAGGGAGGGCCGCCGGCTACCTAGAGGAACGGCTGACACCGTGCGCCCTGCTCCTCGCCCGCCGGCCTGCCTGCCTTTCCAAAGGCCCAGAGGTGGAACCCCAAGTGTACGGCCGCAGTTGCACCCTATCGCCCCGCTCAGCCCTTTCAGGCGCCGCCGCAGTGGGGCTCCCACTTGCCTGAATCCGGGCCCTGCATGCCCCAGGCTACATGTCCATTCCATTTCCGAGGGCGAGGAGGGTGGTCTGGGAGGGGATGGCCAGTTTCTTTCCCTCTAAACACCACCCTCCCACCCCCCACCCTCTCACCTCCCCCTCCCTTTCTGTCCTGGCCCTCAGCTACTGTGGGCGTTTTCTCACCCCTGGTCAGCATCTGCCCGCCCTGTCCATGCCTCTCCCTCGCCCTGCACCCTTCCACCCTGGGACAAGCACAGCCTCACGCCCAGCCCAGCCCGAGGGAGAGGAGAAATGGGTTTATGTTAAGGCCCTTGTGCCAATAGCTACGACCCATCCAGGCCTCACCCCCTTCCAGGCCTCAACCCCATCACCTGCCTCACCCCCTCCCGCCAGGCCTCGCCTGCCCCGTCAGTCTTTCCTTTCTCCTTCTGAAGCTCAAGGTGCCTCTAAATAGTTTGGGGAACCCCCTCCCCGCCCCGAGAACCGAGCGTCCTGGGTTGTGGCCGCCTGGAATGAGGACAGCGAACTTCACAAAAGTTTTGAACTCAACATAGTCGTGTTGGTGACACACTCCCCGGCTGCTTTTTTGTTTTTTCAAGTGAATTATAAAAAAAACAGAGAAGTACAGCTTCGTGCCCATCACGCAAGATTTACCCACGTGAGCAGCTGGTTGGGGTGTTTCCTCTCTGGGTGTTTTAGTCACAGCTTTCCTTTGTCTCTGTCCCACCGTGTCACACGGTTCTCCCACCTTCTCATCCTGTGTCTTTCCTTCCCTATATTCTCAGTGGTGTTTCTTTGCAGCCCCTCCACCTCTATTGCCCCTCAGCCCCCACCCTTCACACACACACACAACACACACACACACACATACACATACACACACACATATACTCACACACACACACACACTCACACACACGCTCACACACACACACACACACACACACACACACACCCACTCTCTCACACACACACACACTCACACACACACACACTCACAGGGGCATGCAGAGGTCCCCTCATTCCACTCAGACACATGAAAGGGGGGCAGGAGGGGTGTGGAGAGGACAGTTGTTGTGTGTTTTTTAATTAGAAAAAACCATCGTGTCCATACAGAAAACCCCAAACGATCTGCCGTTGACATGAATTTCGAGCGGCGGATTATTTGCTTATTGGTTTTGGCGTGTTGTGAATGTCAAGAATGAGAGAACTTAAAAAAGAGAGAGAGAGAGAGAGAAAAGCTCCCACTCTTGTTAAAACTCTGCAGCCCCGCTAGAAAAATAAAGCATCCGCGTCGTTACCAGGCGGTACATGCTCTGCCCCTAATGAAACAAATGTCCGAGGGGGTGACAACGCGGGGGATGTAAAACGTAAAGTGCATTTCAAAGGGCTCCCCAGCAACGCGCCATCTGAGACTCCCAGAAAGTGGAGACGGATAAGACAGGAATTAGGTCATCTCCCGCAGACCCCGGGGACGCTGCGCAGATCAAAGCCTGCTCGGTCAGGATAAACAACACGGGGCCCACGGGCTCTCCCCGCATTTCCATCTCCGAGCTCAGAGCTACTAATCTCAGCGGCCGGCCGCCGCGGATGAAAGGGGGGAAAATGACAACTGTAAAAATGACTCCGCAGAAAAAACCGGCCTCTCCACGCCGCTCCGAGGGAGATAAAGGTTTAGGTTGGAGCTAACAAGTAACGAGATCCAGGCCCACATCAACACAAACTTCCTGGAACTTGAGCACGGAGTAATTATCTAATCCCCGGGCCATTGTTCCCTCCTGGGGTGCCCCGCCCCCCACGCCACGGAGCGGACCAGATGATTTACATAAAATACACTGTTAAACTTTAACTGTAGTCTAAGAACCTTGCAGGAGGTCGCCCACTTACTCTACATCCCTAAAGACCTGGCCCCCCATCCTTCTGCCCCTGCCCCCCAGGCAGTGGGGGGGGGGGGTGCTGGCTGTTAAGGCTGGGGATGTGCTGTAAGCCCATCTGCAAGGCTGGGCTCCTTGGCACCCAGGACGGACGGACGGACGGACGGACGGACAGAGGTCCTGTCCCAGGAGCCCGGCCTTGGGTCACCCGCATTCGGCAGCCGCGCTGTTCAGGCAGCTGAGCCAGGGCTGTGCCCCGCGGCTTGCTTTCGCCGCCGATCGGACTGACGGCCTTACAGGGACTGCCAGGGAACGTTTGATAGATAGAAACATCCAGAAACGGGACAGGAAATCCCAGGGAAGGAAAACGCGCCGCGGCTGGATCCAGGGCGGCCGCTGCTTGCTGAGCCTGGCTTCCTCTGAGCTGTTTAAACATATGACTTGGCTCTGCTCGTGTTGCCCCGGCCGTCGGAGCTCCGGCTTCACAGGACCCGGGGCGGCCTGGCAGCTGGGCGCCGGCCCTCCCCACGCCAGGCC